AAAAGAGACAATATGTTGAGATTTCATCGGTTAATTTTCCCCATTCTATAAACGCGCATTAACCGATGAAAGCTCAACATATTCAAGAAAAATCATGATAACTATCAAAACATTTTGGAAAAAAGAAAGAACAAAACAAGATTGAAAATGATTAGAGAAGAGAGCATGCCTCCCTCCTCTTTTCCATAAATACATATTGGTTTAGTTCAGAAGAAAGAGGTTCTTAAACATTGATGAAGGCGTTCATGATGAGGAGGACGATCTCTTTTGGAAAACACCATTTTTTCATTTATAGTAAAAATGGTTGAGATTTACAATTGTATAGGAGCAGATTTAGCATGCTTCTAAAGTTGGAGATCTCAAGCGATGGTGTTCCGTTATTTGTGGGTAGTTAAAGTTTTCTTTTATTATTAAGATCAAACTCTTGCATCCTTCTGGAAAAGGCTGTTTAAGTGCTGTGCTAGACAAGCGCCATAAAGACAGCGCAGAACTCAAAACATACGGCTAGTCTGATAAATTCGGTTTCTGGTGGCCATCGGTGGCGGCTTTCTGTCTATGGATGGGTCATGGTCAAAATTCATGGCTAGTAGCGCAACTTACGTAGTTGCGGTGTTATGAATTTGGATGAATTTCTAAGTGTCACATGCACTTGCGTTACAGAACAATTGTGAATATAGTTTTCTGGTGCTAAAATCAACAACTCTATTTGAAGAGATCAATCAAAATATGAATTTGTATAAATGAATTTTTATTATTGGACATTCTTGATTGGTGTATGTTCATGAAGGCACCTGAAGTGGCTCGATATAAATCTGAAACAAAATCCAGAATATATACACGCATGAACCTATGACATAAACAGAGCATCTATTATATCATCTCCAGAGTGTTTGCTTTTTACTTACAAGCATCAGACAGTCAAAACACGGTAGCATCCCTATGAGCAATCTCGATTCCTCAGGCGGCGGTATAGATCCAAGTAACCAGATGATTCTGGTCTGATGAACCTGCATCAACAAAATGGAACAGAACATTTTCAGAAATCCAAGTGTCGAAACATGTGTTTTTGGATGATCATGGATCGGTTATTTTGCAATTAACATGTGCGGTGGTCTCTGCTTATAAGCTGTGAATGCACTCTGCATAGTTCGGAAAAAGTGCAACCCTTTTTAAATAACTGTGCGTATGCAAATCCCTGATACAAATCCTCCTATATCTATCAGGCGTCAGAGATTAGATTCAAAGTAATCACCATAACGAAATCCAAGGCAAGTATGTTTTGTTATCTTTTGAGATAGAAAGTGTGAGAGATAGGAGTTAGTACCCATGCCGAAACAAGAAGTCAATAATGACAAGGGAACAGTTGTCCTTGAAAAAATTAGTCTCCCGAATCACATTAGCAACTTGGGCTACTGGAATCAACTTGAAGCTCTCAACTTCTCCATCTGAAATGTAATTTGGACTACAATGCTAAGAAAGAGCATATCTCTCTGAGAAACAATTCAGGATTCCTCATGTCTTACTAGTGATTGCCTAACCTTGATTTTCGGGAACAAAATCTTCCAGGAGTTTCAAATCATAACAAAACAGCACATCACGTTTGAAGCGGTACTGATCGATATCCATGTATGAGACAGCACCGACCGCTATAGCCCTTTAATTAAACGTAAAAATGAGCAAACATCAAGAGAGCTATAAATACTGTTTTGTTGAAGACTGAGGAGAAGGTCTTACCTCTCAGCAATGACTCTGGAAATCCCAGCTTCCTCTTCGCATTCCTTTACTAGATTCTCACCGCAGCTAATCCCGTGAGGCTATGGTTCCCAGAGGATGATGAAAGAAAACGTGCATTTCGATTCCCTCAAATGAGAATTATAATCACTAGTATAGACTTTCTACATCATGATGAATCACTTTCATCATCAGCAGATAACCATGGACAAGTATAAGACTAAGAGAAATCTTACCAATCCTCCAGCAACTAAATGGTCAAGCATCCCTGGATAAGTGGATTTTGTGAGACTTCTCTTACCTATCCATAGAAATTTTTGTCCATCTCTTTCTACATACCCATTCATGTGAACTCCATAACCCTGGATCAGATAACAAGAGAGCCATGTCAATATCCATCAAAACACGTCTAAAACTGAGTTCATAGCATCCCTCCTAAGTTGGTGTCATGTCTAGAAACTGAAACAATTCAGGGCAGTATGGTATTACCTTTAGTCCGAAATAAGGAGCAGCAGCACGCTCTAAGGAGAAAAAGACGGGAGCATTAAACGATGGTTTCACAGGATACAGCTGGTGGAAAAGAAGGAAAGATCAAGAAAATGAAGACAAGTATAATCATACAACTTAAATTCAAGTATCATCATTGGAGAGTTAGAAGATCAAAATCAACATGGAGCCATACCTCATTTCTTATACCTGGAATAATTCCTTTATCACCCAAGATTTTGATCACATTTGCAACTGCTCTGGTTCGATCTTCAGGCTTTTCAAACATCGAATTAAGCGCTACATGGCCACCGGAGCAAGTACCATTTTGTGAAATTGTAAAGATATCATGAAAGTCCCTCAAGTGGTCTATAAATCTGTTCAATCCAATTGAGAGCTTTAAAAATTCCACAAAACAAGTTTGTGAATGCATATAAGAAAAATCCAATTGTATAACCAAATCAAGAGTAGTTTTTTACCCCTTATGAATATAACCAACGATTTGGTCCTCTATAACAAATGGAATGAAGTCTGAAAACTTTTCCTGAAAAAAAGTATGAATCCTTATACAAAAGGATAGAGAGAAACCTTAAACCCAGAAGAATCAATCAATCAAGGATTCGATTCAGTAGACTTACGGATCCGCGATTGCAGCGGTCGATTTTCTCGAGAAACCCAGTGAGATCGGAGGAGTTGGCCTCACCGCTCTGGACGACGTCGTTCCACGTGAAGGAGGAGCTTATCGGACCGGCGGATAAAGCGCGGGAAATTGGCAGGGGAGGAGAAGAGCTTGAACTCGAACGCCATCGTCGAATCAGAGTGGGTCCAAGGCGCCGGGCAAGCGCGTGGGACGAGGATAAGGAGGTGGCAATGGAACCCAGTGAGCAAAACCCAGAAGCCATTTCGAACAAAGCTGCAAGCGTTATAGTAAGAGGTGGAAGGAGACGACTTCGCATCCCATAGTAAGCGTTATAGCTCTTTCCTCTTCGTTGTTCTTCTATGAACAGAGAGTACGAAACAACATCGGTTTGGGTAGGCCGGTTTGTTCGGGTCGCATCAATTTGTGGATGCTTCGGTTTGAAAATAGTTATACCAAAACTAACCGGATAAAACTATGATTTGATTTAGCAATTTAGTTCGGATGAAATGTTGTCGAGTTAAACCGAAGTGCTCATTTATTCGGTTTTTAGTAAAAAGTTCGG